GCTATATCCGTTGTTCACCAATACCTGAGTTACTCTTTCAAACTCTCTACTCACGTTGCTCCATTCAGAGCAGTGGGTAAGCGCTCGACGAATATAAGCATTGAGAACACTGGCTTTGTATCTTTGGGGGCACTCACTTCTACCGTTCAGGCATAATCCTATGTTGGTGGGCTTGGTATATACGTTGTTGCTTAAAGAGGTTCCTGTTTTTGTTATTAGTACATCCAAGAATGGCAGACTGTTATTTTCACTATTTTCATGTGTAAATCGGAGTACTGACTCTCTCTCTAGGTGTCTTTTTAGGTCAATTAGTTCATCTGAGTCTTTTACAATTACGAATATGTCATCTACATAACGGCAGTATACCAAGCCCACCAACATAGGATTATGCCTGAACGGTAGAAGTGAGTGCCCCCAAAGATACAAAGCCAGTGTTCTCAATGCTTATATTCGTCGAGCGCTTACCCACTGCTCTGAATGGAGCAACGTGAGTAGAGAGTTTGAAAGAGTAACTCAGGTATATATATATATATATATATATATATATATATATATATATATATATATATATATATATATATATATATATATATATATATATATATATATATAGGTACCCCCCTATATATATATATATATATATATATATAGGTACCCCCCTATATATATATATATATATATATATATATATATATATATATATATATATATATATATTATATATATATATATATATATATATATATATATATATATATAGGGGGGTACCACCACTGGTGCAATTATAGGGTCCCACAGCCTCAGAGAAGGGAACACAGAGCACTCAGGGAAAACTTGCCATTTAACTCTGAATACGAAAGAGTGTTCACTTCTCCTACCACCCCCTTTTTTTTATTATGATGTACACTTATTATGCAAGGTTATACAGTTACATATCTGATTTTATACAAAAAATGAACATTAAGAGGACACAAGAAAAAGTTCGCTTCCTAGAGGCTGTAGATTTCCTCGAACTCCTCCGACGCCGGGCAGGAACCGAGGATGCAGCGGGCATTTCCCCTCTGGATCGCGACACTGAGGCGCTGAAAGAGAAAACTTGCTGCTCTAGGGTCTCTTGTGGTGTCAATGAGCTTGGAACCAAGATCATTAAGAAACCTTCTTGCACTCTCACCCCATGGGCCTAGGGTCTCAGACCCTATTGGAACGAAGTTGTACCTTTGATCTAATTGCCTGTACTTGACTGACTTTTGTTTTTCTCTTTGTGTCGCTGCGGCTCCTGCTGTGCCGGCAGAGAGGGTGATGTATGTCGTTGCCAGGGTGGATACGCAAGTATAGTCCCATACTAACTGCCTTCCACCCTTCCACGGACACAGTGTGATTCCGTCTGGTCGGCCGGCAAAGCTAACAGAGTCACGGTTCAGTAGGTTGCGGGGCTCTCTCTCCGCTGGACACTGAGCAGAGGCAAGGCTTCTTTTAATGATGTCGTTGACTTCGTCGTGTCTAGTGTGCCAACCACCCGATTTTCCACAGTGCAGGCCATGCAATCCATATTCGTCAGTATCTGCCTCGCCGCAAATACACCTGTGAACAGTGTGGATAGGGGCAGCAAGGCGGAGAGTGACTGCAATACGGAGCTCCTGCGGATCAAGACGTGTGCCTGTCGCAGACATAGGGACTGCCAGAAGGAAGTCCCCTGCATGGGGAGCCTGCACAGCTGTGAGGCGTGCACGATCACTGGGGGTTGTTGCTGCCTCCAGCAAAGCTGTGGCTTCTTTGTCTACAATGGGGCTGTCCCAACTGGATTGTTTCTTGGCTTTCGGCATGGCTGGTCTGAGTGCTGGGTCTGTCATGGCACCCCATTTCGTGTCGCATTCCGTGTAGTGGGGGTCCTGTATCCCCACTACATCACTCAGGGTGTCAGGTAGAATTTCCTTAACCAGGTCATTTGATGCTGAGGAGGAAGACAGGAAGGCTGGGACAGCAATTTGGGTGGCGTTGCGGACACCCAAGCCACCGAGCCTGACAGGAAGAGTGGCTTGTTTCCACTGGCATTCGTTGAGGGAGAGGTTAACAACTTTTTCAAGCATGGTCTTCAGTAGGAGGTCATACTCGTCAAGCTTTGGGTTGTCGTAAGATGGGGCGCACCTCAGAAAATAGGTTAGCCTCGGAAGGGATAGGCATTTGGTGAGGAGATAAAAAGCATCGTGGGCATCGATGTCACCTATTCTGTCTTCCATCCTCCTTACGTCTGCGATTTTCTTGTCGAGGATCTCCTCAATGGCGTTAGACCCGAGGGGAGCTCCAAGGAGGGTGCTGTTCTCGGCCCTAATGACATGGGCTCCAGGCAAGGCAGACCTTATTCTAGCTACGATGTCTGGGTTGGAGGAGACTACTTCACACTTGGAAGGGTTCAGGACGAGACCCAGGCTTACTTCTTGCTCCCTTATTTTCCTGATATCTGACAAGAGGTGGTCTATGGTGCCAGCTATAGTGCCATCATCCAAAAACCAGATGTTGAACTCGCTGGACAAGCTTTCGGTGATTTCTTTTAAGACTAAGTAGAAAAGAAGGGGAGCAAGAGGATCACCTTGCTGAACACCTTCACATGATCTGATTTCATGTTCACCAAAGAGCAGTTTGGACTCGCCACTGTAGCAGGATAGTATGAACGGGTAGAGGGGCCGGAAATGGCGATGTACGGCACAAAGTACTGCATCTCTTCTTACCATGTTGAAGGCATTATTAAAGTCCAGTTTGAGCAGGGCCTTTTCATCAGAAATGTTGGTGATGTATGCTCGTGCTGCATGGGCAGCCGCTTCACAGCCTTGGGGGATTCCAAAACCTAGCTGGATTGGTTTCAGCAATTCAGCCGCTTGCTGGCTGACTACCCTCGTAGCAGCCTTGGCAATCAGGCGTCGGAGAGTGTTGCCAACAGCGATTGGCCTGATTCCTTCGTCCTTCTTTTTGAGAGCACAGAGGGAGGCACCAAAAAAAAAAAAAAAAAAAAAAAAAAAAAAAAACAAAAACAATATATATATATATATATATATATATATATATATATATATATATATATATATATATATATATATATATATATATATATATATATATAAAATCGGAGAAGCGTAAGTTCTATTCAGTTGTGTATTTGTGAACTAAAGTCTTTGAAAATGTAATAAGTTTTACGAAACGCGCTCGTGTCGCGTCAGACTAGAAATAAAAATGAATTTTGGAGAATTGATTTTGATTTACCTCCAACAGTGAAAAGAAATGTACGAAAGATTGAGAAAATTCGTGTTAGAATTATTAATCTTACTTTTTCGGTCATATTTAATAATATATGTCTACAGGAAAGACTGCTACCAAAATATACTAATATATATATATATATATATATATATATATATATATATATATATATATATATATATATATATATATATATATATATTTATATATTTATTATTTTCTGGTTTAGGGCTTCTATCCCTCTAACTATTTTCTTAGCATCAGGGCTTAATTGGAATAGGAGTTCTCCAAAACTCATTTTCGTACTTTTAAGGTGAAGAAAAGAAGTGATTTACTATAGAGTGTATTACACTTATTTGTATAATTTGCACGACGTTTCGAACCTCCATGGTTCATTCTCAAGTGAACAGATCTTACAATACTAGTTGATTTTATACCCGCATTAGGTCAGGTGATAATACAATGAAGGTGAAAAACATGGGGGGATACATAAGGGATAAACATAGGGGCTGCAGAAGGCTTATTGGCCCATACGAGGCATCTCCTATCTAAACACAAAGTAAGTTTAGTCTACAATCATCAGCAGATTTCCTAGAATTGATCAAATCTACCCAGCCCGATGGAATCATCGCTTCCCTGGACGTTGAATCCCTTTTTACCAACGTCCCAGTCGACACAACCATAGGAATGATACTGGACAGAGTATACAGAGACGAGAGCACCCCCAAATTAGACATACCTGAGCCACACTTGAAAAGTCTTCTCGAAGCATGTACAAAGGAAGCCTCTTTCATCAGTCCACAAGGAGACATGTATTTACAAATAGACGGAGTAGCAATGGGCTCCCCCTTAGGAGTTTTATTTGCTAATTTTTATATGGGAACCATCGAAGATAGGGTCTTCAGTAGCAGACAAAAACCAACTGAATACTGCCGTTATGTAGATGACATATTCGTAATAGTATAAGACTCAGATGAACTAATTGACCTAGAAAGACACCTAGAGAGAGAGTCAGTACTCCGATTTACACATGAAAATAGTGAAAATAACAGTCTGCCATTCTTGGATGTACTAATAACAAAAACAGGAACCTCTTTAAGCACCAACGTATATACCAAGCCCACCAACATAGGATTATGCCTGAACGGTAGAAGTGAGTGCCCCCAAAGATACAAAGCCAGTGTTCTCAATGCTTATATTCGTCGAGTGCTTACCCACTGCTCTGAATGGAGCAACGTGAGTAGAGAGTTTGAAAGAGTAACTCAGGTATTGGTGAACAACGGATATAGCAACGCGGAAATAAACGCTGCTATAAGAAGACACTTGGACCGTTGGTATAATTCAGAACCTAGAACAGAAACCACAACACCCCCAATAAATTATATTACAAATCAACCATGCACAGTGAACATATAAAAGAGGAAAGAATAATGAAAGAAATAATCCGTAAAGGAGTAAAAAGCACTACTCCTAACCAAAACATAAACCTGATAATATTCTACAAAACCAAGAAGATTTCCGAACTCCTTATCAAAAACAGCCCGAAGCCGACGGAGAACCCTCTACAGCAGTCAAGCGTTGTATACATGTACACTTGCCCCCACGAAGGATGTAATCTTCAATGTAAGTACATAGGTATGACGTCGACCAAGCTGACGAGGCGTTTGACATGCCATCTTCAATCTGGTGCCCCTAGGAATCACATGAGACAAGCCCATGACATTACTCTAACAAGAGAAATGTTGAACAAGAATACTTGCATAATAGACAAAACCCAAGATTCAAGAAGATTACAAATTCTTGAGGCAATTCACATAAGAATAGAGCGACCTACCATGAACACCCAAATCACGGAACTATTTACTCTGCCCACCATGAGAGTAAGGACAAGACAAGAACATATCGATGCCAACACAGAAGACAATGTCCAACATAACAGGCCAATTACACTGGATTAATCTTTGTGTTTAGATAGGAGATGCCTCGTATGGGCCAATAAGCCTTCTGCAGCCCCTATGTTTATCCCTTATGTATCCCCCCATGTTTTTCACCTTCATTGTATTATCACCTGACCTAATGCGGGTATAAAATCAACTAGTATTGTAAGATCTGTTCACTTGAGAATGAACCATGGAGGTTCGAAACGTCGTGCAAATTATATAAATAAGTGTAATACACTCTATAGTAAATCACTTCTTTTCTTCACCTTAAAAGTACGAAAATGAGTTTTGGAGAACTCCTATTCCAATTAAGCCCTGATGCTAAGAAAATAGTTAGAGGGATAGAAGCCCTAAACCAGAAAATAATAAATACAGAATATGCGGTCATATTCAATGAAACATGTTTGAAAGAAAACCTGCTATATATATATATATATATATATATATATATATATATATATATATATATATATATATATATATATATATATATATATATATATATATATATATATATATATATATATATATATATATATATATATATATATATATATATATATATATATATATATATATATATATATATATATATATATATATATATATATATATATATATATATATATATATATATATATATATATATATATATATATATATATATATATTGTGTGTGTATATGTATGTATACAAATAGACAACCTCCCTGTAGTTGAATCGAACCCAGAGAGTACAGGTGCTCGCGCAGCTGCTATAACTGGTACGTCTCAACCGACTACACCAACTCAGACCCCTTATATCAAGAAAACTGAGTTTGCTGAGTTTGTTTGAGGGGTCTGAGTTGGTGCAGTGGACACAACACTACGATGACTGGTGATATACTGTGGTGGTATACTGTTGGTGTAGTGGACATAAAACTACCATAACTGGTGACTTTAGTGGCATACTGTTAGTGTAGTGGACACACTACCATGACTGGTGACTGTGGTGGTGTACTGCTGGTGTAGTGGACACAACACTACCATGATTGGTGACACCCTGTGTTAAAAATGTTTTGTATTAGTCTTACAGAAAAATGTTGTCAGCTCCATACTGTTGGTTTGAGCCACTTCTTAGAGTTCACCAATCATCTCATGTTCTTCAAAGACGTGTTCTTTGTACTTAACACTCTTCTGTTCTTCCTTACTGACATGTAAGGAAGAACTTAGTACTTAGTGTTCAAGAACTTTCTTTTCTTTCTCACAGACAAGTTCTTAGTGTTCAACAGCATTTTCATCTTCATCACAGACGTGTTCTTAAGTGTTCAAGAACCTACTTATCTTTCTCACAGACGTGTTCTTAGTATACACCCCCTTTCTCACAGACGTGTTCTTAGTGTTCACCCCCCTTTCTCACAGACGTGTTCAAAGTGTTCACTCACCTTTCTCACAGAGGTGTTCTTAGTATTCACCCACCTTTCTCACAGACATGTTCTTAGTATTCAAGAACCTACTTATCTTTCTCACAGACATGTTCTTAGTGCTCACCTATCTTTCTCACAGACATGTTCTTAGTATTCACCCACCTTTCTCAAAGACATGTTCTTAGTATTCACCAACCTTTCTCACAGACGTGTTCTTAGTATTCACCAACCTTTCTCACAGACGTGTTCAAAGTGTTCACCCACCTTTCTCACAGACATATTCTTAGTGTTCACCAACCTTTCTCACAGACGTGTTCTTAGTGTTCACCCACCCGTCTGACATGTTCTTAGTGTTCACCACGCTTCCTATCTTCCTGACAGGCCCTAGAAGCTCTGGGGATCGAAGACTTGTTCTCGAGCTGCAGTGATCTCACCAACTATGTTCGGGGCACCAGCCTGAGTGTGAACACGTCATCCACAAGGCCGTGGTGGAGGTGAACGAGGAGGGCTCCGAGGCTGCTGCTGCCACACTCATCATCTTCAAAAGCGGCCCTAGAGTGTTCAGATGTGACCGCCCCTTCGTCTTCTTCATCAGGGACAACCACACTAACACCATACTCTTCATGGGCGTCTACAGGAAGCCCTAACACCAAACTCTTCACGGGCGTCTACAGGAAGCCCTAACACCATACTCTTCATGGGCGTCTACAGGAAGCCCTAACACCATACTCTTCATGGGCGTCAACAGGAAGCCCTAACACCATACTCTTCATGGGCGTCTACAGGAAGCCCTAACACCATACTCTTCATGGGCGTCTACAGGAAGCCCTAACACCATACTCTTCATGGGCGTCTACAGGAAGCCCTAACACCATACTCTTCACGGGCGTCTACAGGAAGCCCTTGCACCATACTCTTTCTGGGGGTGTCTACAGGAAGCCCTAACTCGATACTCTTCCTGGTTGTCTACAGGAAGCCCTTGCACCATACTCATCCTGGTTGTCTATAGGAAGCCCTAACATTAGAGACCTTAACTTTGATGTCAAGGAATTATGAACAACTAGCAAACTTAAGTTTCAGACTTGTATATGTTGCTTGAAGAAGTGAAGGATGACGTCTCTTCACAGCAACCGTCATAGACAACACATATATACACACACACACATGTATATACCTGCCTCACACATATTACTCACATTCACACTCTCGTAGGTGTATACTTCCTCTTTCTCTCATAATATATATATGCACATGTATACCTCCTCTCTCTACTACAACACTTACTTGTGTCAACACTTTCAAGTGTCAACACTCACTTATGTGAACTCTAGTTAGTGTAAACACTAGTTGTGACAAACATTAGTTAGTGTAAACACTTGCTGTGATAAACTGTAGTTTGTGTAAACACTAGCTGTGATAAACACTAGTTAGTGTAAACACTAGCTGTGATAAACACTAGCTGTGATAAAAACTAGCTGTGATAAACTCTAGTTAGTGTAAACACTAGCTGTTATAAACACTAGTTAGTGTAAACACTAGCTGTGATAAACACTAGTTAGTGAAAACAATAGCTGTGATAAACACTAGTATGTGTAAACACTAGCTGTGATAAACACTAGTTAGTGTAAACAATAGCTGTGATAAACACTAGTTAGTGTAAACAATAGCTGTGATAAACACTAGTTAGTGTAAACACTAGCTGTGATAAACACTAGTTAGTGTAAACAATAGCTGTGATAAACACTAGTTAGTGAAAACAATAGCTGTGATAAACACTAGTTAGTGTAAACATTAGCTGTGATAAACACTAGTTAGTGTAAACAATAGCTGTGATAAACACTAGTTAGTGAAAACAATAGCTGTGATAAACACTAGTTAGTGTAAACAATAGCTCGAGTAAACACTCGTTTGTGTAACAGTTAACCGCTGAAGAAGTTCATCTTAGTAAACGTTCACTTATTGTTGTCCTCGAGTTTCATGTTTAATAAAGTATTGTCACAAGTTATTGTTCGTATCTATTTCATCTGTACTATAAGAGATAATGTCTGTCTGTTCAAAGTTGGCGGTAACAAGGTTGAGGCTACCATTACCCAAATTAAATTTGCAGAGAGAATGGTCTTGCGTAAGGGATAAACATAGGCTGGTCGGGGTCGCATAAGTCAAAAGAGAACAGCGTGCTAACGCCACCTCCTCCTTCTCTATAGGTTTGGGCACTGGCGGACATCTACATATCTATATTTTTAAAACAAAATCCTTTCGTCCTCAAAAAAAATCTTAAAGTAATATTCACCATTATTCACTGATCTTGGAAAAATTACGAGAATTTTGTGCTGTTAATAATTTGGCCGCACTGGCATAAAACACACGATCCTTACACAAAGTCAGAGGTTTCTCAAGCAACGGCACTGTGGCACAGTAAGTAGTAACTATTATTGTTTTGTATTTCACACCACTGAACTCCTCTCGCTCTCGAACTCCCAGACAGAGACAGAGACAAAGAAAGACAGAGTCAGACAGACAGATAGACAGATAGATAGATAGATAGATAGATAGATAGATAGATAGATAGATAGATAGATAGATAGATAGATATAGATAGATAGATAGAAGATATAGATAGATGAACAGATAGAAAGCTAGAGGGATATATATAGATTGAAGGATAAATGGCTGCACAGATGGATGGACAGATAGCTGTATGAATTTATAGCTAGATGCAAACAAGCCTAAATGGTCCCCAGGACTATATACAACTGAAAACTCACACCCCAGAAGTGACTCGAACTTCTGGGTTCGAGTCACTTCTGGGGTGTGAGTTTTCAGTTATAGCTAGATATATGGATAGATGGACAAAGTGATGGACAGATTAACAGATAGATGGATAGGTAGATGAATAGATGGATGGACAGAAGGATGAATAGATTGATAGAGCTATTCATAGATGATGAGTAGATAAATGGATAAATAGATCGAAATCCCCGTGGCGCGGTGTTACAACCCTCGTCCCGCGCTTGTCGAGCGATCTACCCTGGGTTTGTATCATGGCCGGGGAGGATTGACTGGGCGCCAGTCCTTAACTGTAGCCTGTGTTCACCCAGCAGTGAATGGGTACCTGGTTGTTAAACGACTTGGTGGGTCATACTCCAGGGAACATAGGATTAAGGACCTGCCCGCAACGCTATGGGTGCTGGTGGCTGTACAATAGTAAAAGAACTCTTCTATATATAAATAAATAAGGATGACATGATTGGTAGAAGGATGGATAGATGAATAAATAGATTTTTAAGTGGATGGATAGATAGGTGGACAGACAGTTGGATAGATAGGTGGTAAATAGGCCGTTAGGTAGACGGACAGAAAGATCGATAGCTAGATGAATACACAGATGAGTGGATTGATAGATGAATAGATGTATAGATGATGGATGGATTGATAAATGTATAGATGGATGGATTGGTAGATGAATATATATAGTTAAAAATACTCATTCAGTAAAAGCAAAGCCTCTCATGTTTTTTTTTAAATAAAGCCTTCTGCAATTACCTTCTTTTTTGACATCATCATCCCTAATGCGGTGCGAAGTGCCAACGCGGTAAATGCGGATCCCAGGACGTTCACACATAAGTGTGAACTCTTAATCTGGCTTAACACCTAAACTGTTCTCTGTGCTTCATGAAAGTTGATATTCAGCTACAATGGCTCGTATTTTCGCTCATTGCTCATATTTTCTGATATTCATAAACCCGATCAAACCATCCTAACCTAACCTAACTTATTATATATAACAAACAAATGCATTCTACAGACCAGTTATTGTTGTTGTTTAGTGACATCATGAAAAGCGACCTCAGGTATAGGGATAATGGTATTGCTGGCCATTAGCATATAAGTGTCAATGTATTACAGCACCTGACTGGTCAACTGTGTATGACGTCACCAGAATGGCCCATGCGGCCTTTAGCTTCCTACCTGTATATGTACTGTATTTGATGTTATAATTATTCAAAAAATGACTAGACTAACCATCCCCACCTAACCTAATCAGAGGTTTAAGAATATACATTTTAATTATCCACAACTATAATCATTATTCGGTGATAAGTGCAAAAGTATAACAACAGCCCAAATGTCGTACTGCAATTTAAGCAGAATCGTACATCTGGCAGCAGACGAGCTGTCCTTATAAGGACCTCCCCCCAGCCCAAAGGGTAACCCTGTTCATCACACTTCATTAACCATATGTTATGCTGATGATGTCTCTCACCTTGTCACCAGCAACACCATTGATACACTAACAAACAGAGCACAAACAGAACTTGATGTTGTCACTGAGTGGGAGTACAAATGGCGTATAAAAACCAACTCCAGCAAATCTAAAATCACCTACTTTTCTGTAAAAGAACTATTCGCCCAATTCCTCTCAAACTCTATTCATACACTCAAAATCCTACTTATATCTCTGTATCTCCCTCCTCCACAGTCCTGGGACTCACATTTGATCGACAACTACTCTTTCACACACACATAACACAGAAACATGCAATAGCTCTTCAAGCCATGAAGAAACTATACAGACTTAGATTTGCAAAACCTGACACAAAAATGCACCTTTACAAATCACTTATTAGACCTCTCCTAACATACGCTCCACTAGCTCTTTCTCTATCTGCACGTACTAACAAAATAAAACTTCAAAGAATACAGAATAGAGCACTAAGATGGGTACTCAACACCCGATGGCAAGAGTTAAATACCAGTCAAAGTCTCCATGAAAGTATGAACATTCCTGCCCTAAATACCTACTGGAAAACTTTATCAGATAAACAAATTGATAGACTACTCACTTATCATGAACAACACATTGATTTTCTCCTACACACTCTCAGACTACCACGAAACAATCATGACCTCTTCTCTACTATCCATGATCCTCCTCCTAACTCTGTATTTCGTTAAACTTTATCTCCCAACACCCAGCATCCACTATCATTACATATTCAGCTCTCAACAACCAGCACAAACAATCCGTAAAAAGTTCAGCCCTGACGCTCTTGAGCCAATCACTGTGATGTTGTGAGTTTGTGATGTCCCGATGTTGTCACTGAAAACACCCGACTGAGTCCCTGCCTCGAAAGCCGCAACCTAACGACACGCAGCTGGGTTTAGCCCTGGCACTTTTTCTCTTACAAACCTTCTTCCTCTCACCCCCCCTTATCTTCTTCTGTCCCCACTTCCAAGCTCGCCCCATGGGCATCGTCTCCTGTATTATTCTGATTCTGATTCTGATTCCCAAAGGGTAGTCAAACTCAAGCTTCTTGTGCTAACACTCTGAACTAGCTCCAGCACTTGTGCATTAACGAACTTCGTTGTGTCGTATCTATCAACTCAACCATGTATATTTGTGAACTTTGCAAGGCTCCTAAACTAGGACCATTGCACCTGTGCCAGGCAAAATGTGCTGGATGTAGGATAACCTTCTCCGCCAATCCTCGGCATCAGTGTGTTATTTACTGTAAGCAATGTTCGGAGATATCTCGTGGATATTATGATAAGATTTGTCCCTCGTGCTCCAAAGTGATTTGTGCTACCCGTAAGTATCATTGTTTTTATAACATCTTTTACGAGTCATAGTATATGTATAGATACTATAGAAAATTGCCCAATAGCAGCTAAATTTATATATGAATTAGTATTTACAATTAGCTGTAGAGCTGTACATCTATGCAGCATTCCTTAAAAATATATATATATATATATATATATATATATATATATATATATATATATATATATATATATATATATATATATATATATATGTATAACTATATAAATTAATTGAAATCTACAGGTCGCCACCCCGATGCATGTCCATTTTGCATGTATCTAAACGATTCCGAGGC